GAAACCCGGCCACGTGCGCCGGGCAAGCAAGGCGGAACCAGTCGCGTAAAGGCGGCGGGCAGGACCGCCTCTCTCCGCTGTTCCTTTGGCTGGCGGCTACGTCCATCTTGGCGCTGGCCGGGTTTTGCTTCTCGGAAAAGGGCTCCCTCTAGCGCAGGCCCGCGGCCTCCCGTTCGCCGTTTCGGCAGTTAGCAGCCCGCAGAGCTGTTTCTCCGCTGCGCGTGCCAGCGGGGTCATTGCCACAGGTTATTTTCTACGCCCTTCGCTTGCGCGACCCAGCTTTACGCATCAGTGCAATAATCCCAATAATCCTTATCCCAAGGAGACGTGCAGCTGTAGGACGGCCACCTGCAGTAAGGCACACGGGTAACCCCGGTCCGACCGCGCTGCTAGAAATGCTCTCTCAGATTGCGGCTCGCCATCCAGTAGAACGGACAGGCAAGTAAATGCATCGAACGGCAGCATTATAACGCAGACTTCTGCAAATTTGCTCACCCAACAAGCCAACCGTTACTCATTTTACTCTAGTTTACCGAGTAGGCTATCATTACCTGGGTTTTCACAACATACTGTGTTTACAAACCCCGGTGGCTGTATACAGCTTAGGTGCTTAACTATAAAGAAGGAAACCACATTCTAGTTTAGCTGATGATGTGTAGGGCGCCAAAGTGTTTAAAGCAGTGGCTTTTTAAGTTGGCAACTTTAAGATGCGTGGCCTTCAACTCCCAGGATTCCCTAACCAGCATCCTCAGCATGGGGAATCCTGGGAGTTGAAGTCCGCGCGCCTTAAAGTTGCCAAATTTGAGGAACGGTTTTAAAGTGATTTAACCCCGCCCCTGAACGCTTTTAGAGCGGCGTGTTCAGCTGGCCTGAATTAGGTTGGGAAAGCGCCAAGCAATATAGACCTGTCGAATCCGACATCAAAGGGGCCGCGTGATTTCCAAGACCGTTTATTTACAAAGCTTATTTGCAAAGATCTTTTGTTGAGACGAAGAGTTTAATCGTTACAGCAACTACATCAGGCGAAGGTGGCCGCCTTAATCCTTACAAGAGACTTTTCTGAGGCTGCCTCAAATACATGTCACGACGCTGCTGGCTCGCCTAGCCGCGGAGCCTGGTTAGCCTCACCTCCAGCCACCGGGACTCCGCGCTTCCCCCTGCTGCACGAAGAGGGAGCCCGGGCGCGCAAACACGGAGACGGAAATGTTGGTCTCTCTCGCTCGTTCTCCTATCCCTCCCTTTCCTGGTTACGCAAACACAGCGCGGGAGGGAGAGTCCGCGCTCGCTTACGGGGGGCGGGAGAGCTGCTGGTTACGGCGACCGCAAGCGAGCGCGCAAAACGCCTTCCTTTTCGCCGGCTGCGGGGTGAGTATCCAGCCCGTCCCTGGGCAGGCCTCGCTTCGGCTCGTGGCGGGGTAGGCGGAAGGACACTCGCCCTCCGCGCAGGGGAAGGGATGTGGGCGACGCCGCTGTAAGGCTCCTGCTCCCCGCGTTCCGGAACGGAGGGACGGCGCGTCAGGCGAAGTACCGGAGAAGAAAAGAGCGAGCGGCTTTCCGCCACTTTTCCCCAAAGGGGCTGTGCCTTCGCAACTAGCCATCCTGCGTGCGGTGGATCCGTTGCACGTGGCTGATACCTTACGGCTTAGTTATCTGAGCAACGAGGAGTTATTCAGTTACGCGCGCAGCTTGCCACTAACAGGTATCGTGCTCGATTTTGGAACAGATGGGGCGGCCGTCGGGTGGCTCGGAGGAACTGCGGAAGAGGCTGAGGGCGCGGTGTGGATCTGACTTGTTGGTGGCGGGCGCGGTGCGGGGTTACGACTAATCGTTCCAACCAGAGACACGCATCGAGCCGCAGACTTGCCTCTCTAGTCCATAAGAAGTCGGAGTTTATTCAGCTAGTTGCAAGGACGCAGGGAACAGTCCTCGCCTCGGGTGTTTTCTTAGAAACCTTATTGGCTAAGGTAAATTTTACAGCAATGTGAAGAAGCTTAAAACCATTCTGGGGATATTTCCTTTGAGAAGGGGGTTGTGACTCGATTTCGCAACATGCTAAAAATAAGGTGGTTTTGAGTTTTCCCTAAGCCAGATTAATTGTGCAGGCGCAGCCAATTATATTTATTTAATACAATGTAAATCATGTCCTAATGCAGTGTATGAATTCAGTCTAAAAATAAGCAGGTTGCCAGTTCTAGGCGAGACCTCTTCTAGGCATTTGTAGAATATGGGAGTAGAGCAAACTGATTACCACCTCAGGAATGCATATCATTTTTTAATTCTTTAGACTATAAATAAAGCTCCTTGCAAGAAAAAGTGGATGGAAGGGCAAACACATTGGGGACAAATGTTTTCCTGTCTGTTCCTTGCTATATTTATTGTTTTACTGACACAAACATAGCATACATTTTAAAAAGTCGTTTTTAATAGTCTGTTGAACCAGCTCAGGATTCTAATTTTTCTCTCATTGTTGCCAGAGAACTGGGTTCCTGGTTCTCCTAACGCTAGATTTGAGTGTGTTTTCTGGAATAGTAAAATTGCCTACTGGCCTTTTGTGACCCTTCCCCAAATGCTGCTCAGATTGGTTTATCTCCCTTGTGTCTTGTCCTGATGTGAAGAGGTTGGAGCAACAGAAATGTCAGTTCTGTCCTAGCGTCTGAAGTAATATGCATTAGAGAAAGTGGTTTCTGAGTAATGAAGACTCCTACACATAGTGGGTTGTGGGTTCATAAGCAAAATTTTTAAAAAAGCTTTCAACACAGACTTTTCTCCTTTTTTTTTTTGAACTTGAAAATAATAGGCATGTAACAGTGCTGAAAGAGGACTTATCAGGCAGATGAAAATTTGGCATTTGTCTTTATCAGCGGTTCTCAAGTATTTTGGTCTCAGGACCCCTTTACATTCTTAAAAATGATTGAGGGCCCCAAAGAGCTTTGGTTTATGTGGGTTGCATCTATTGATACTTGCTGTATTAGAAATTAAAACTGAGAAATTTTAAAATATTTATTTGACTTTGTGGACCCCCTGAAAGGGTCTCAGAGACCCCCAGGGGTCCCCAGACCATACTTTGAGACGCACTGGTCTGTATCATTCCTTAACTCCTTGGTCAGATTGACATGGATTCTTTCTGCATGCTAAATATTAACAAAACCTGTCATGACAACTGCAGTTGAGCTGATTGACATGCAGTGCCTCCCAGAATGTCTCCTATACATATGCAGCTTGTACTACAAGCAGCTGTAAAATATTCTCTGCAGCCTCCCTCCCTCACTTCAACAATCCTACACAGCAGTTATCAGAAGGTGCAATTTTAGTTTCAAGTGCAATTACTACTGAGTGTTGTTGCATTTCTAAGGAGACAGAGGAATAATTTTCTGTGTAGGATTTTGTAGGTGTCAGGTCAGCACAGTCATGGTGTTTTGTAAGACTATCATGTCTACATTACATAAAGAGATCAAATTATATTTTAATTTCAAATTCTTTAAATTTTGAATTACTAAAATACATGGAATGCACAGCTGTATGCAGGATATGGTCAAAAAGTCAAGATGGCAAACATGGTGATACAGTTGAAGTTTTGCCTGTTTTTTGTGTACATCACAATCAGTGGAGCTTCAATTGCACCATCCTGGTTGCCATCTTGACTTTTTTTTTTTATCGTGCCCTGCAGATACCCATGAAGGGGTAGCAAAGAAATATCTTCCCATTTGAAAATGTTCCGTATTCTCTTAATAAAACCATATAGTTCATGGCTGAATTGAGTAATGCTAAATGATAGGGGAAAGTATATAGTTGAAACCATTTTTTAAAATCCGCCTATTCCTGTGTACCCCATGCAGCTGAATAACAAAATAGCTGCACTTCAGAAAAATAATAGAAACGTGTAGAAGGGATAATGTCTGTATATTTGGAAACTTATCTTGTTACCTAGAGTAGAGCGTCAGCATACTGTAGTGTATTGCTTAAGGTGCTGAACTAAGAAGATCCAGGTTCTAGTCCTCCTGTAGGCATGGAAGCCAACCGATCACCTTGGGCCAGTCTAATCTATTTATTGTTCTGACCACGGTCATAACAAATAAGGTTAAACCTGCACAAAAGTGGCCTTATATTAATAAAATACATTAAAATACACAAAAATCAGTAAAGACATTAAAACAGTGTTATTACAACTGGTAAAATTTTTAAAAACATTAGGAACATTTGGTAAAATATTCTCTATTTAGCAGCAGCCTGTCCAAAGCTTGCTAATTTCCATAGCAATGTCTCCTTGCCTCAATTCATTAGATATTCAATTTTAAATGAATTGGCCCAAAATGATTTCCTCATCAGAAGGGGCTCCAGAAATTTTCAACGTGCTGAAGCAGAAATAGGGCAGTACAATAAATAATGGGTAAAATCTTCTATACTTTCTGTGCAACAAGGGCAGAATCACATATTATATGGGATATTGTGAAATTGGCCCTCTCGAGTTGCTGATGCCATTTGCTGGAACTGTAGTCCTGTAAGTGCCTCTCGTAGGGATGGCACTGTAACACACTTCAGATAATGTTCACATTCGATTCTGGTTTTATTGAGTGCATACTAAGGGGCAATTTTATTTTGTGATAATTTAAACAAATTTCTTTGGGCAAAGACATCCAGTACCCTGTTTTTAAATAATAGACTATTATTGGTGTTATTCGAGTTCAGAAAGAATTCTGGGGGAAAACCAAAGGTATGCTATGATTGGATAAAAATGTAAGCCAACTGGTGTGAGGAGGAGTGAAGAAATTAATTTGCTCCAGGAGGCACTGCTTAACAAGTCAAGGATCAGGTAGTTTGAGGAGTCTAGCCTAATAATCAAAGGCCCTTATTATTATTCTAGCTTTAATTGGGTATGTACCAGTTTCTGCATAGAGAAAGGGGATAGGAGTAC